AGAGAAGGCCTTCCCTTGGAACTGACATCCTGAATTTGGACTTGTAGCCTACTAGACTGTGAGAGAATAAATTTCTCTTTGTTAAAGCCATTCACTTGTGGTATTTCTGTTACAACAGCACTAGATGACTAACACACTGAGCAAGACGTTTTTGGAGGGCGTTAGGACTTATCTATCACTGTTTAATGGGCTTAAATCCTTGGGCCAGGAACTCCATTTTTTTTGACTCAACCCCAGAGAAATGCTTATACAAGAGGGCAAGGATAGATATGAAAGAATCTTCAGCGCAATCTCATTTGAAAGAGCAAGACATTTTAAGGAACATAAATGGTATCAGTAAGCAATGAGTTAACTAAGTTATTTCCACCCAGGAACAGAATACTATGGAATGAAATGTATGTATGTTCAGACACACACACGCAGAGAAATAGCTCTAGAAGAACACAGACCGAACTGTGACAAGTGGTTACCCTGGAGTGTGGCTGGGGGTGAGGAGACACACTTTAACTTTTTCTTTGTATATTTCAATATTGTTATACTATTTTTGTAATTAAAAAAACTTTTAAAAAAATCTGTGCACAGAAAAAGAAGAAAAAATATATCAAACACATTAGCAACAGTTGGCTTTGGGTCATGTTTGTATGTGGAGTCTTTTCTTTTACTTGCTTATACTTTCCAAGTTTCTTATAATAAGCACAAATCCTTTCAAAATGGGGGGAAAATGCTATTAAAAAGTACATAGTATAAACTGAATAGAATGTCAATCTGAATTCCAAGGCATCAAATCTACCTCCAACACCAAAGAAGACGTTCAGGTGGCTAACAGACACATGAGGAAATGCTCGCGATTATTAGCCATTAAACCCACCCATTGCTGTTGACTTGATTCCGGCTCATAGCAACCCTACAGGACAGAGTAGAGCTGCTACATAGGGTTTCCAAGGAGCGGCTGGTGGATTCAAACTGCTGACCTTTTGGTTAGCAGCTGTAGCATGCCGTAGCTCTTAACCACATTAGAGAAATGCAAATCAAAACTACAATGAGATACCATCTCATACTGACATTACTGGCATGAATCAAAAGAACAGAAAATAACAAATGTTGGAGAGGCTGCGGGGAGATTGGAAGTCTTATGTACTGCTGGTGGGAATGCAAAATGGTGCAACCATTTTGGAAAACGATATGGCTCTTCCTTAAAAAGCTAGAAATTGAAATATCATACAATCCAGCAATCCTACTCCTAGGAATATATCCTAGAGAAATAAGAGCTGTCACACAAATAGACATATGCATACCCATATTTACTGCAGCATTATTCACAATAGCAAAAAGATGGAAACAACCTAAGTGCCCATCAACAGATGAACGGATAAACAAACCATGGTACATACACACAATGGAATACTACGCAACGATAAAGAACAACAATGAATCCATGAAACATCTTACAACATGGATGAATCTGGAGGACATTATGCTAAGTGAAATAAGTCAATCACAAAAGGACAAATACTGTATGAGACCATTATTATAAAAACTCATGAAAACGTTTACACACAGAAAGAAACAATCTTTGATGATTACGAGAAGGGGGGGTAGGAAGGGAAAAACACTAGACAATAGATAAGTGGTAACTTTGGTGAAGGGTAAGACAGTACACAGTACTGGGGAAGTCAGCACAACTTGACCAAGGCAAAGTCACAGAAGCTTCAGACACATCCAAACTCCCTGAGGGACTGAATTACTGGGCTGAGGGCTGGGGACCATAGTCTCAGGGGACATCTAGTTCAACTGGCATAACATAATTTATAAAGAAAATGTTCGACATCTTACTTTGGTGAGTAGCGTCTTGGGTCTTAAAAAGCTTGTGAGCAGCCATCTAAGATACTCTACTGGTCCCACCCTGTCTGGAGCAAGGGAGAATGAAGAAAACCAAAGACACGGAAAGATTAGTCCAAAGGACTAATGGACCACAACTACCACAGCCTCCACCAGACTGAGTCCAGCAGAACTAGATGGTACCCAGCTACCACTACCAACTGCTCTAACAGGGATCACAATAGAGGGTCCCGGACAGAGCTGGAGAAAAATGTAGAACAAAATTCTAACTCACATAAAAAGACCAGACTTACTGGCCTGACAGAGACTGGAGAAACCCCGAGAGTATGGCCTCCAGACACCCTTTTAACTTAGTACTGAAGTCACTCCTGAGGTTCACCCTTCAGCCAAAGATTAGACAGGCCCATAAAACAAATAATAATAGATGTAGCTCAACCATGTATACAAGACTAAATGGGCACACCAGCCCAGGGGCAAGGACGAGAAGGCAGGAAGGGACAGGAAAGCAGGATGAATGGAAATGGGGAATCCAAGGTCAATAAGGGGAGAATGTTGACACATCTTGGGTTGGCAACCAATGTCACAAAACAATATATGTATTGTTTAATGAGAAGCTAGTTTGTTCTGTAAACCTTAATCTAAAGCATAAAACAAAACAACCCAGTGGGGGTGGGGGAAGAATCGACCTCCAACCTTGGCTTTATCATCTTGTGGAAGTGTTACACTATCTCTTGGAGCCTTGGTTTCCTCACCTATAGAATGGAGTTGCTGTGAGGATCAAAGATTACACCTCTCGAGGTGAGCACATACCTGGCAGGTGGTAGGGGCAGGGTAAACAGAAGCTTTCTCACTGCCCATGAAAGCTCAGACTGTAGGTCTTGTTGCTTTTCCCCAACTGGGCTGACCCAGGGAGCAGCCTCAAAGAGGGTGGCTGCCTGGGTCAGGGTTGGGTGAAGGTTCCAGCCTCCCCAGGTCTTCCTACTCCTCAGGCGTCATTCCACAGAGCTGACACCTGGCCTACCTTGCTGGGCTCTGCTTCGTCCGTCATGACACCCGTCATGATGACGGCCTCATCCAGGGAGTAGAGCAGCCCTTCCACAAAGTGGTTCTCCAGCCGCTGGGACTCGCGGGAGAACTTGTCACAGATATTCTCCAGGCCCCGCACTGGCTCGAACCGCAGCCTGATGTACTTCTTGGCAGGGATGATGCGGATCTCGGCGGTCACCAGGAAGCCCAATGTCCCACAGGACCAGGGCACAGCATAGAACAGATCTGAGTTTTCAGACTGTGAGACAGAGGTAACACAGACAGCTTGAACCCTAGACCCCACATTCTGGTGTGTGATCGATGAGGGAACAAAGAACCTAGGGTCTCAGAGCCAGGAGGCCTACGCTAAGTTTCTGTTCTGTCACTATCTCTCCACGTAAACCCACATAAAGTACAAACTGTACTTTCTGGGCCTCAATTTTCCCTTCTGTGTAATGGGGGTAAAATTCCTCTGCAGCTTCAACGTGACTTTTGACCTTATATTGCCCTCTGTATCAGAGATGCTCACTGAGAGAGCATCCTCCCTTCTCTACCAAGGTACAGCCCTGAGCCACAAGCTACCCAGGAAGGAGGCCATGACCAGCACTGCCCAAAGACCCATGGTTGGCGGCCAAGGGACAGAGGTCTCAGGCCAGGCTAAAAAAAGAGCTGAGCCTTATTGAGAGTCAAAGTAACCAGGGAACATTAAAATGTCTTCCTTCTGGGCTGATACTAAAAAAAATTTTTTTTTTTTTTAAATTTTATTCTTGGTGAAAATATACCAGCAAAACCCACTGCTATTCCAGTTTCTAGTCATAATGATCAGTGACACTGGTTACATTCTTCACATTGTGTCAACATTCTCATTACTTCTGTTACAGTTGTTTCACTTCCATTTACTTAATCTCCCTGCCCCCTAACCTTCTCACCTGTGCTTTAAGATAGCCGTTGACCCTTTGGTCTTATACAGACTTTTTTTTTAAAGAAATGCAATATTCAAGGGTGCAATCTTTATCCTTTGGGTTAAACTGTTACTTAGTTTACAGGTAACTTCAGGGGATATCTTCAATTCAAGATTTGAAAAGTAACTCAGGGCCACAGTCTTGGAGACTCCTCCAGCCTCAATAGGTCCAGTAAGTCTGGATTCTTCAAGAATTTAACTTCTGTTCCACATTTTTATCCCTTTTTATCAGGATTCATCTATTGTCTTCCGGAACAGAACATTCAGTAGTGGTAGCCGGGCACCAATAGTTCTTCTGGTCTGGGCTGTTACTAAAATTTACAAAGCCTTTCAGTCTATTAGCTTGTATAATCCCCTCAATACCCAGGGGGAGAAAACATTAGTATTCCCATTTGACAAGTAAAGAAACTGAGGCTCCAAGAGGTGACATGACTCACCCAAGGCTTCTCAGAAAGTCAGGGGCAGCAGTGCCAGGCAGGGGCGGATTAACCAGTAAAATGGTATGCACTGGCTTGCACTGAGCAAAGTACTCACAGGCTTAATTGTACTTACTTGCTAATCTATGGTGAGCAATTTCACATGGGTTTCACTACATCTTTGACGTGGTGGGGGACAGGTGAAATTGTGCACTGCCGATTGGTGGGAAGGCACAACTGGGTCCGTGCGTACCCTATTGGGTGATGTGGCCCTGGCCAGGGCTTGGGCAAGACTGCCTACCTCCCAGTCCAGCCTTCTTCCTACAACACCTCATCTGGTTCTATACACCAGTTTCTAACTTCACCATGTTCCTGTTTGGGTATCTGTCTTGAAGACAGACAGTTGACTTTTCACCTGGCCATCCTAATTCAGATTCTTTGATTAAATAAGGCTCCTTTTGAAAGATGCCAGCCTTGTCTTGGCTTTCCCAAGATGACACCCCTGTGTAGTCCTGCTAAACCTGAGAGGCCTTGGTGGTGAGCGGGGTGGGATGGGGTGGGTGAGGGGACCCAGAGCAAAGAAGCTCCACCACAGGCCAACAGAAGCCTCCAGAACAGCAGAACTGGGCCAACTGATCCTTAGCTGGGTCACCACCTAATCACACTGTTATCATCTCAACTTTGATAACCAGGCACCCGCCACATGCCAGGCTCTATGCTAGGAGCTTCATATATAACATCAACTTCCTCCTCCTGACAGTGCCTTTATCAAAGGAAAGTGGGCCTCAGAGGAGGGAGGCGATTCATAAAGGTTTGTCTCCTTTCTCTGCTGATAAGAAGTAGGTTAGAGGGCAGGGCCCAGGCAAGTATTTAGGGAAATGTGATGTGAGTCTTGAAAGGGGCCTCTCTCATTCAAGATCAGGGCTCCCAAGCCTGGAGTCCTTCCCTGGAATCTCTTTTGTGAGGCCACACTCTGGTAGCTTCTGAAACATCCCCTTCAAAAGGGTCAGACTGTCCCTTCCATCTCAATGCCCCCTTAAACATGCTAGCAGGGATCTGAGTTTACTTTAAGTTTTAATCCAGTCTCACTTTTTACAGTAAGAAGTCTTAAATGTTTGTGTCCCATTCTGGGTGGTAGAATTATCTTTTATTTCTCCAAAACAGTCCCTCTCAGTGCTTTTAGTTGCACTTCACAATTAACAATACAGTATAATGAATGGCTAAGGGCATGGATCTGGCAACCAGATTGCCTGGCTTTGAATCCTAGCTCAGCCGTTTACTAGCTGTGTGACCTTGGCCAAATTTATTAATCTCTCTGTGCTTTAGTTTTCTATCTGTAAAATGGGGATATTACTAGTACCTACCTCATAAGTTTGTTGAAGAACTAAATACATTAATATATATAAAACATTTACAACAGAGTCTGAATACCTATAACCAAACCAAACCCACTGCTGTCGAGTGGATTCCAACTCATAGCAACCCTATAGAACAGAGTAGAACTGCCCCATAGGGTTTCCAAGGCTGTAATCTTTACAGAAGTAGATTGCTACATCTTTCTCCTGTGGAGTGGCTGGTGGGTTCAAACTGCCAACCTGTCATTTAGCAGCTGAGCACTTAACCACTGCATCACCAGAGCTCCTTCTGAATACCTATAAAGGGCTATATTAATATTTGTTATTATCATGGATACAGATCCAGATTGAACAAGTATTGGACTTATCCCTGAAGTATTTGAAAGGAAGCATCTCTAACGGAGCCACTTTCCCACCCGAGATCTTTGATGTTCAGGTTGGCGTGGACGTCCGCCATCTCTGAACTCACCGGTGTACATCGCACAAAGCTGCCATCAGCCAGGACCAGCTCGTAGGCTGTACAGATGTGCTGGAACAGACCATACTTGTGGGATGACGACTCGATGCCAGTACCCATGATCAAGCCCCCTGCAGAGACACACGTGTTAGCCAGGGGGAGCTGTAGGGAGCAGGGCAGGAGCAGCTTGAGTGAAGGGCACCTCACTGGAGCTGGGGGAGCTCGTGGCATGAGGGGAACAGGGCAAAGGTGGAAGAAATGGGGCTGCTGACTTAGGGGAGAGGTCAGGAAAGAGAAGGAGGGTCTGCCTGGAGGTAGCAGGTGGATGGGAAGACCCCATCAAGGGTGTTCACAGCCTTAGCTCTGGCCAGACACAGCCCAGAAAACTATGCATTCATGTCAAGAGGGACCTTAACAGAAAGGAGAGTTGGTAGGGTGGCAGAAACTGTGTTTTATGAGAATAGTTAAAGGAATTGCAGGTATTTCCCCTGGAGAAGAAAAGGCTTTGGAGCCATGAACCCTGCGGAAGGGAAGAGAGACCAGACTTATTCTGTTCCATAGGGTAAAGTTAGAAGCAATGGATACAAGTCACGGAGAAGCAGCTTCTAGCTAGAAATAAAAAGTGCTGTCTGAGAACTTGAGCTGTTCAGAAATAGAATGGCAGGCAGTGATCACCCTGTCATTGCAGCTGGGTGAGTAGAGATGGGTGACTGCTGCCACAGATGGAATACAGGGGCCTCCTGAACTGGGTGGATGGTGAGAAAAGTTCCTCAACTCTGATTCTGGCACTCTCTGACTCCTCTTGCCCCTTAACATGGGGTGCTCACCTACAGTGAGGTCATCGAGCTCAGGCAAAACAGGCAGAGTCCAGCCAATGGAGGTCAGCAGGGCGGTCACCTGACCCATGGTTACCAAGGGCTCCACACGGACAATCTGTTGACACAAGAAGAGACCCTGGGTCACATGGAGGCTGCCAGGACTAATGAGAACACGCAGAGTGTGTCATTCTAAACTTTCCAAACACTCTACATAGGGATTCCTACACAGCCTTTGTGGGCACTTTCTAGAACATTACACTGTCTTTAATCACAGTGAATGTGATTTCTGGCTCTGGGTTTCCTAGTATTTAATTGTGTCCTTTCAAGTATCTTTACACTTACTGCTTAGTTTTGTTCGTTTTTTTTCTCCCTCCTAGATTATAGAAGAAATACTCATTCATTTGGGGTACAGCATATATGAGGAAGGAAAGAAAAATCATCCATCCTAGTTCTTCAGAGTTACCAATGTTAATTCTGGAGTGTATTTACTTTCAGTTTTGTTTCTATGCATACCTATATTGCTATTTTGTATGGTTTAACACAACACATACACACACACACACTTTCCTGTCCTGCTTTTTAAAAAATTAACACTCTGCTGTGATCATTGTCCCTTGTCATTAAATATTCTTGGAAAACATGATTCTAATGGACACATTAATGTGCCATCATGTGGACTTTTGTTTCTAGCCAAGATGGAGCAACAGGAATCAGATTTACCGTGCTACCTCAAAAAAGCAGCAGCAGTCAAGAAATCAAACAACGTACTGCACTGGGCAAATCTGCTGCAAAAGAGTTCTTTAAAGTGTTAAAAAGCAAAGATGTCACTCTGAGGACTGTCTTAGCTATCTAATGTTGCTATAACAGAAATACCACAAGTGGATGGCTTCAACAAACAGAAGCTGATTCTCTCACAGTCTAGGAGGCTAGAAGTTCAAATTCAGGGCATCAGCTCCAGCTTTCTCTCTCTGTCAGCTCTGGAGGAAGGTCCTTGTCATCAATCTTCCCCTGGACTAGAAGCTTCTCAGCGCAGGGACCCTGGGTCCAAAGGATGCGCTCTTCTCTTGGTTCTTGTTTCTTGGTGGTATGAGGTCCCCCTATCTCTCTGCTGGCTTCTCTCTTTTATATCTCAAAAGAGATTGGCTTAAGACACAACAAGTAGGAAAATCACATCAGATGACAAACTGGTGGACAATCACACAATACTGGGAATCATGGCCTAGCCCATTGACACACATTTTGGGGGGACACAACTTGATCCATAACAAGGATCAAGGTACATCTGACTCAAGCCATGGTATTTTCGATTGCCTTATATGCATATGAAAGCTGAACAATGAATAAGGAAGACAGAGGAAGAACTGATGCCTTTGAATTACAGTGTTGGTGAACAATATTGACTACAACATGGATTGCCAGAAGAATGAACAAATCTATCTAGGAAGAAGCACAGCCAGAATGCTCCTTAGAAGCGAAGATGGGGAGACTTCATCACACATACTTTGGACATGTTATCAGGAGGGCCCAGTCCCTGGAGAAGGACATCATGCTTGGTAAAGTAGAGGGTCAGCAAAAAAGAGGAAGACCCTCAACGAGATGGATTGTACAGTGGCTGCAACAACGGGCTCAAACACAGCAATCATCGTTAGGATGCCACAGGACTGGGCAGTGTTTCATTCGGTTGTACACAAGGTTGCTATGAATGGGAACAGACTCAACAGCACCTAACAACAAACCTGAAAAAAAAAAAAGACAAAATATATGAAATGACAGTTTTCAAGATTCTGTACATTAGGCAGTGAAAGTCAGTGATCCTTGAGACATAGGAAATAAATAAGGTGAGTTCTATGAATGTCCCACCTAACTGCCTGGAGAGAGTATCCAGGGCTCAGTGCAGGGAGGTAGAGCCTAGATGGATGTCACTGGACTCCCTGAGTTGAGCAGATGGAGATGAACCCCAAAAGACCAAGGTGGCTAGAGTTCGCGGGAGAGTAGAGTTGTACAGAAAGAAAACTTGGAAGAACTTCAAAGAATGCCCAAGTATTCAACTGAGTGCTGATCAAGACGCTCACGTGAGGAACTGCTGGAGACCAAGGCCAGGGAAGGTCAGGAGCACTGGTGGAGCAACGGTTAAGCACTTGGCTGCTAACCAAAGAGTTGGTACTTTGAACTCACCAATGGCTCCATGGGAGAAAGACCTGGTAATCTGCTCCTATAAAGATTACAGCCTAGGAAATCCTATGGGGCAGTTCTATTCTGTCATGTGGGCTACTATGAGTCAGAACTGATTCAACCACACACAACAAGAACAAGGCCAGAGGAAGAACCACTTGAAAGAACATCAGGGAACAGTGCCAGGGGCTCATACGTGTCAGGAGCCAGTGTCTGTTCCCTTGAGCTTGACTGGAAAACCTCATGATTCACAGGGCGTTGCGTAGAGTACTGAGAAGGGTCTTCCTCAGCAGTGTGTAATAATTAGCCCTAGATTAAATGCTGTTCTGACCCCACCTAAAAAATAAAGACCTAACAGGATCAATCTATTTCCAGATAACTTAATTGCATCCCAGAAGAAAGCTCAAGAAGATTTATACGAATACAAAACTATCCACCACCCAAAAAAGGTAAAGTTCACAACACCTAGAATCCAATCAAAGCTTACCAAGCATGTAAAAAGACAGGAAAATGAAACCTATAAAAAGGAGAAATATCAATGAATCAATATAGACCCAGAACTGACACAGACATTAAAATTAGCAAACAAGGACATTAAAACAGTTATAACTGCATCCCCCACGTTAAAAAAAAGTTAAATAGAAATACTAAAGATATTTAAAAGACCCAAACTGAACTTGTAGAAATGAAAATCACAATGTCTGAGATGAAAAATACACTGGATGGGATTAACAGCAAATTAGATATCACAGAAAAAAAGATTAGTGAATTTAAGTACATAGCAAAAGGAACTATCCAAAATAAAACCTGAGAGAGAAAAAGTAATTCTAACAAATGAACAGAGCATCAGTAAGCTGAGCTGTGGACAACTTCAAGTGGCCTAATATACGTGTAACAGCAGTCCACAAAGGAGGGGAGAGAAAGCGGGGAGCCAAAAAAATATTGGAAGAAAAATTGGCCAAAAAAATCCAAATTTGATGAAAAATTATAATCCTACAGAACCCCAAGCACAAGAAATATGAAGAAAACTATGCCAAGGCACATCATAATCAAATTACTCAAAACCAGTGACAAAAGCAGCTAGAGAAAAAAGATGTTACATGCAGAGGAACAAAGTTCATGATGACAGAGTTCTCGTCAGAAACACTGCAAGCAAGATAACAGTTGAGCAACATCTTTAAAGTACTGATAAGAAAAACCCAAAACTGTCAACCTGAAATTCCACACCCAGTGACAATATCTTTAAAAAACGAAGGCAAAATAAACCTGTTTTCAGACATACAAAAGCCAAAAGATTCATCACCAGCAAAACTACTATACAAGAAATATCAGAGGTCCTTCAGGCAGAAGGAAAGTAAAACCAGATGGAAGTATGAATCTACACAATCGAATGAAGAAGCACCAGAAGTAGTGACCACAAAGATTTTTTCCTTATTATTTAAATTTCTTTAAAAGATAACTAACTATTAAAAAATCAATAATGTAGTGTGGGGTTCATAAAGTAGAAATACAACAATAGTAGCACAAAGGCCAGGAAGAGAGAAAAGAAAGGATATTATTGTAAGATTCTTATGCTATATGTGTAATGGTATAACATCATTTGAAGATAGACTGTGATGAGTAAAGTGCATACTATAAACCCTAAGAAACCTGTTGCTATTGGGGTTCTGACTCATAGTGATCCTACAGAGCAGAGTAGAACTGCTCCATAGGGTTTCCTAGGCTGTAATCTTTATGGAAGCAGATTGCCACATCCTCCTGCAGAGCTGCTGATGGGTTCAAACCACTGACCTTTTGCTTAACCACCACGCCATCAAAATAAAAAACCTGCTGCCATCCAAGGATCAGCTGGTGGATTTGAACTTCTGACCTTTTGGTTAGCAGCTGAGCTCTTAACCACTGCATCACTATAACCAACCCTAACCAAAAAGTAAACCCATTGCCATTGAGTCAATTCTGACTCATAGCAATCCTATAAATTCTAAAGCAACAGCTAAAATAAAGAATTATAACTAATAAGGAACCCTGGTGGCACAGGATTGGAGGAAGACTAATTAACAACTTGCAATACGCAGATGACACAACTTTGCTTGTTGAAAGTGAAGAGGACTTGAAGCACTGACTGATGAAGATCAAAGACTATAGGCTTCAGTATGGATTACACCTCAACATAAAAGAAAACAAAAATCCTCACAACTGGACCAATAAGCAGCATCATGATAAATGGAGAGAAGATTGAAGTTGCCAAGGATTTCATTTTACTTGGATCCACAATCAACGCCCACGGAAGCAGCAGTCAAGAAATCAAATGACGCATCACACTGGGAAAATCTGCTGCAAAAGACCTCTTTAAAGTGTTAAAAAGCAAAGATGTCACTTTGAGGACTAAGGTGCATGAGATCCAAGCTATGGTATTTTCGATGACCTCATATGCATGTGAAAGCTGAATAAGGAAGACCGAACAAGAATTGAAGCATTTGAATTATGGTGTTGGCGAAGAGTATTGAATATACCATGGACCGCCAGAAAAACAAATCTGTCTTGGAAGAAGTATAACTAGAATGCTGCTTAGAAACCAGGATGGCGAGACTTCGTCTCACATACTTTGGACATGTTATCAGGAGGGCCCAGTCCCTGGAGAAGGACATCATGCTTGGTAAAGTAGAGGGTCAGTGAAAAAGAGTAAGATGTTCAGCAAGATGGACTGACACAGTGGCTGCAACAGTGGACAAAGATGCATGAGGAAATTTTGGGGGTGTGGTTATGTGCATTGTCTTAATTATGGTAAGAATCAATAACAATCGATTCCAACTTATGGTGACCCATGTTTGTCAGAGTAGAACTGTGCTCCGTAGGGTTTTCAATGGCTGATTTTTCAGAAGTAGATAGCCAGGCCTTTCTTCTGAAGTGCCGCTGGGTGGACTCAAACAGTTGTTCTCATTAGTTGTCACTGAGTCAACTCTGACTCATAGCAACCCCATGTATAACAGAATGAAACACTGCCTGGTCATAATGCCTTCTTCATGATTGTTGGTATGCTGCTATGAACATGTTAACTGTTTGCACCACACAGGGACTCCCATGGGTATATACATACGTCAAAATTTGTCATCAAATTGTATACTTTAAATATGTATAGTTTATTTTACATCAAATATGCCTCAATAAAGCTGTTTTTAAAAAAAATGGCAGAGAAATTAAATAACTTAGCCAAGGTCTCACAACAATAGCAAAATGTCATCTTGTAGCTATACTATATTTAGTAACTCCCCTATTATTGGCTATTGTATTGTCCTCAATTAGAAATAAAGCTGTGATACAATCTCTGTGTTGTCTGTATCTTTGATTACATTGAGGCTTATTTGCTTTTTCTTAAGTCAAGTTCCAAGAAGCAGAATTACTAGGTGGGCCAAAGAGTACACACATTTCTAAGGCTGTTAAACAAGTAGGTCTCCAGCTCGTGATCAAAAGGGGGGGAAAAGTGGAAGAGAATTTAGTTCTCATGGAATCCAGACTTTTAGAGCAACTGAGGCTGGATGATCCCCAAAACTATTGCTCCGAGGTAATCTTTCAACCTGAAACCTTAAACCAAAAATATCTCCTGAAGCCTTCTTTAAACCAAAAATAGTCTAGGTTAATTACTAAAGGATGTCTGCTGTGAGCATTATGCTCTTTTAAAGAACCATCTATATGGGATCAAACTGATAGCAGCAGCTAGAAAGATTAGAGAGGCAGCTTAGGAGGCAGTGAGTTTATGTCAATAGGGGAGGAACAAATTGGAAAAGGAGGGTGAGAATGGCTGCACAATTTGAAGAATGTAATCAATGTCACAGTATTGTACACAAAGAAATTGTCGAATTGGTGTATGTTTTGCTGTGTATATTTTCAACAACAGTAAAAAACAAACAACAAAACAAGTGGGTCCCCAGGAAGCTTATAATAAAGCCCACTACTCCCAGCCACCTCCGTAGCCCATTTTTTTACCAGTACACTTCCTTACTGGGAGGAGGTAAACAGGTTCCCTTTTTCTCTCATTTTTGCTCTTGTTTTTCCCTGACTTCCTATAGAACTACAGGCAATCCCCTGAGCTCTCAGTTTGCCTGCCTGTGAGATGAGGCTATGACCAATCTCTCCTCTTGGTGGCTATGAGGCTTTGGAGGATAGCAATGGTGGGCAGAGCCTATGGGCTTTGGTCCCATCCACTCGAGGATGCTGTTATGGATCTAATTGTGCCCCACAAAAATGTGTGTTATAAATCCTAGCCCCTATACCTGTGGCTATAATCCCATCTGCGAATGAGTTTTCTTTGTATGTTAATGAGGCAGGATTACTGTAGAGTGTGTCTTAAGTCAATCTCTTTTGAGATATAAAAGAGCAGATTAAGCCCACAAATAACAAAGCAAGTAGAGATGGGGGAAGATGCCACGCCACATGAAGATCACCAAGGTGCCAAGGAACAGAAGCTGAAGAGACAAGGACCTTCCTTCACAACCGACAGAGAGAGAAAGCCTTCCCCTAGAGCTGGCACCCTGAATTCAGACTTCCAGCCTCCTACACTGTGAGAAGATAAATTTGTTTGTTAAGGTGACTCACTTGTGGTATTTCTGTTACAGCAATACTAGGTAACAAAGACAGATGCCTTTGGTGAAAACCGTCTCTCTATGAATCACTTCCACCAAGGCAGTGTCCACATGCTCCCAGAGGTTGGGGCCAGGGCCACTCTCACCTGTTTCTTGGTGTCCACCTCCAGAATGTCCATCAGGTTGATCATGATGTTTTTGTGTGTCTTCTTGTACTTCCCAACCCGCAGCGAGACAGTGAGCCAGCCAGGGCGCCCCGTGCACATGAACGTTTTGCTGCCCTGTTCCTTCCACTCTCGTACCTGCAACCGTAAGGACAGAGGCTGAGTGGTCCGCTTTCAGGCAAAGGGAACTGGGAAAGATGCCTTCGATTGTCAGCAAACATTTACTGAGCCCCTACATTCTTCCAGGTGCCGGGAGGAACACAGTGATGAGAGGCTGGCTGGCGCTGCCTTCTGGCATCTCCCTGACTAGAAGCGGTCAGAAAGGCCAACATGTTGCTACATCACAAAGCAGAATAAAGAAAGAGCTAGACTACAAGATCAAAGTATTTTGGAAACATTAACTGGGAAGTTGAGGAAAGGTTTTGTACTGATAATAATAGCAATTATAAAAATGATTACCAGTTACTGGGTGACCTCGTTGTACCAGGCACCTACCATACACTGTCTCATTTAATTCTCACAACAAGCCCAGGAGGTTGGAATGACCAGTTCCCTTTTGTCAGTGAGGAAACCAAGAGGCAAAATAACTTGCCCAAGGTCATACAACTGAATGGCGGAGCCCAGATTCACAGCCAAGACTGTCCAACTATTGATTTGTGGGAGAAGAAACTTGTATGTCAGGCTAATGGGCTTGTATAATAGTCAACAGAATAACAGCTAACACATATTGAAGCTTATTATATGCCAAGCCCTAGTCTAAGCACTTGCATGCATTAAGCATGTGTCACTTTGAGAGGGAGAGAGGAAGGCAAGAAAGGACCACTTTGCCAATGGAAGGAACAGCATTTGCAAAACTTCTACTGGAAGTGACCAGAACACAAAACCTGGGCAGGTAAACAGCTCAGCATGGGAGGACTTTCTCACAATCAGAGCCCAGGGTGCCATGTGAAGTGATGGGCTCCCCATCCTGGGAGGTATTGAAGCAGAAGGAGGTTACTGAGGAAGGGATTCCTGTGAGTTGGGGGTGAAGAGACGAGCGGTGGGATTCCATGACCAACCAGGCCTTGCTTCTACCCAACTGTGCAGCCCCACAGCTTAATACAAGCCCAGAGGTGTGAGGGTACAGGGGTGGGGAGTGCATTCTGGGAGGGCAGGCCACATGAAGTGAATTTGAAAGCCACAAAGCCTGAATCATTGGTTGGATTGGATCCAACCAAGATTCTGGGCCGGGAGGTGATGTGTGAAAAAGTGACTCTTGTGACTGTGTGCAGGACAAAGAAAGGTAAGGAGGGCCATGAAGAAAGGTAACTGGTCAGGTGGGTATCACAACAGGCCATGTGTGAGGCAACATAACCAGACCTAGAGGGTGGAATGGAAAGGAATGGGAAAAATGAAGTGTCAATGCTCAGGCTCTGAAGTCAAGCAGCTCTGGATTCCAGCCTCATTTGTTAGCTATGTCATCTTGGGCACGTGACTTACAGTCTGAACGTCAATTTTTCCCATCTGTAAAACAGGTAAAAGACCTACCAGGTTGCTGTGAGGATTAGAAATAATGGATGCCAATGGCACAGGATGTGGCACAAGGCAGGTCCAGGACAGTGGGCTGGTCCAATGTGGCCATCTGTGTGACAGTTGATTTGCCAGGCCCCTTGTCTTCCTGTCCACAGTGAGCCCTTTGGTTTAGTTTAGGTTAATAAGTGCTCACTGGGCTGCTCTGGGCCAGAGGTGAGTTGGACACAGTCCCTGCTTTCAAGCAGCTCACAGTCTGATGGGGGGAGAAAAGAAGGTAGATGGAGACTCTGAACACAATGTGGAAAGAGCTGTGAAAGAGGGTGCAGTTGGGGAGGGGGGATAGGCAGGGCTTTGGAGACATGACTGTGATTAGCAAAAACCCAGGGCAGCCTGAGCGAAGCATTTCCATTGCTGCTTTCTCCCACCTGCCCAAGTCTTGCCCCTCGTGGGGACATGTCTCTGCATTTACCTTCACGCTCTTATTTGCAGCACCCAGAATGCAGCAAACAGAAACTGGAGGCTGCTACACCTGTGGAGAGGTGGCAGCAGGAAACAGAAGTTCTTTGCAATCTGATGCCACTAAGAGAGAGACATAAGGAGGGGCAGAGGGAGCAAAGAAACTGTCCAGGCCCGACACCCATGCCAGCCCTGAAGTGGAGACAGCTCCGCTGAGTGGCAGCAGGTCACTGGCTCTGTGGGTGCTGAGGATGTGTACCGTTACTGAGATGGCAAGGAGTGAGCAAGCACCCCTTCACCAGAGGCTGTGAGCAGGGTTCTACCTGCTCACTTTAGTCTTCCATCCTAAAAGTGTCAAAAGCTCCTTGCTGTTACAGAATAAACTCCAAACTCCTTAACCAGGCATCACGGCCACTCCCCAACTAGCTCCAAACTGACTTTCAAACCTTCTCCCTCCCTCCCTGCACTGTTCTTCCCGGCCTTTGCTCACACCAATCCCTCCACCGGATAAACCTTTCCCCATCATTTCGCCTGCTTCCCAGTCTCTAGCTCCAGCTCCAGCTCCATCTCCATCTCCGGGAAGCCTTTCCTCCTCTGAACTCACCCAGCGTTTTGTCTCAACCTCCTTTAGGCTTTTCGCTTCAGGATAGTTACCTGTGTATTGCTCTTCTTCCCTTATTTTAGGATTCTTTATATCCCTTCCGGTACCCACACAGCGCTCTGTATAGGGTAAACCTGTTGCCGTCGAGTGGATTCCAACTCATAGCGACCCTACAGGACAAAGTAGAACTGCCCCATCGGGTTTCCAAGGAGCGACTGGTGGATTCCAACTGCCAGTCTTTTGGTTAGCAGCCTGAGTTCTTAACCACTGCATATGGTAGGCACTCCATAAACATCTGAGGAATGTTTTGTTCCCTCAATGTCTTTGCTGATTCTGTTCCCTCCCCTGGAAGCCCCCACCATCATTTTTGGTTCAACCCCCACTCATATACCACCTCCTCTGTGAAGTCTTGGCTCCCCAGCCGAGGCTGGCGTTGACGGTCCCTCCTCTGCCCTGCACATCACTTTCTCAGTTCTTCTCCCGGGCACTCTCTATCTGATGCAGCAGCCTCGCGTACCGCTATCAGCGTACGTGTTCCCTCTTCCATTAGCCTGGGAGCTCCTTGGCCCCTCGTACCGGGCGCAGGCAGCTCTTGCCGCCCGCGACCCGATCCGGGCGCCACTCACCTGTTTCTGTATGTCCCGCACGCGCTGCTGGTGCAGCCGCGGCGCGCTGCTGAGCCTGAACACCACCCAGGCGCGCACGTAGTAGTAGATGTCGAAGATGAGCGAGAGCGGCAGGAGGAAGAGGCACACGAACACCCAGCGCTGGTGGATGATCACGAACTCCAGCCCCTTTACACGGATCCAGAGCAGGAAGAGCAGCGCGCACACAGCCAGGGACACAGCAGGCTCCATCGCGCCGACTCGGGCGCCTCCTGTCACCGCCACCCGCTCTGCCACCAGCTCTGCGCCTGCCAGAGCCTGCCGCTGCCTCCCACTCCCAGGGAGCGGGGGGAGGGGGTGGGGGAAATCCCCTCGCCGGCTCGCGATTGGCTTGGGTCGCAAAGGTTCGGTGGGCCGAGACCCGGGTGGCAACCAATGGCGAGCCGCGCCGGGGATCGGACCAGGAACCCACGGCTTTTATTGGCTGTGGGAATCAGACTGCTCCACCCCCTTGTCCTCGCCAATACGCAAGGAGGGGATGTCCCGGCATAGGGGCCATGGTGGGCGCGCTCTGCTGCGCGAGTGACTGTCTGGGGCGGCGGTGGCCTTCTGGGGCGGCGGTGGCCGAGAGTCGGGGCTCTCCACCCTTGGGGCTTGGGGGCGGCCCCTTGAACGATAGGCGCGGCTGCTCCCTTCTTCTCGTTAGGGGCTGCCTCCTTGGAAAGGCGCGTTAAACGGTCACGCGCCGCGTTACGTCCGGGGAAAGGGTGGGAGGGCGCCTCAAGGCTGCACAGGCCGGTTTCTGGGAGTACCCCTGGGTCAGCCATCTGCCTGGCAGGACATTCCTGGCAGTGTGGAAACCTGGCTTCGACCAGGGCAGGTCATGTCACTTCTACCCGCAAGGCCACGAGATGTACCTTTTCATTTTTGTAGGCGCTTTCCATAAGTTAATTTGAGCTACACAGCAATCCTGGGCGGTGGGTAGTTGTTAGTCCCATTTTATAGACGACAAAACGGCAGAAAGGTGAAGGTGAAGACTTGTCCGTGATCTCCGTAGAAGGCTATGTTTGGGAACTTTCCCCCTGTCTGCTGAGGCAGATCGGAGGTGGTGGTGGTAGTTGCTGTGGAGTTGATTCCCACTCATGGCGACCCCATGTGTTACAGAATAGAACTGCTCCACAGGATTTTCTTGGCTGTGATCTTAAAGGAAGTAGATTCCCAGGCGTTTTCTTCCACAGCTTCACTGGGGTCCTGGAATAGCAAGAATAGCAAGAGAACTAGAATTAGAAGTGGAGCCTGAAGATGTGACTGAATTGCTGCAATCTCATGATAAAAGTTTAATGGACGAGGAGTTGATTCTTACCGAAGAGCAAATAAAGTGGTTTCTTGAGATGGAAACTACTCCTGGTGAAGATTCTGTGAACATTGTTGAAATGACAACAAAGGATTTAGAATATTGCATAAACTTAGTTGATTAAAAAAAATGGCAGGGTTTGAGAGGATTGACTCCAATTTTGAAAGAAGTTCTACTGTGGGCAAAATGCTGTCGAACAACATTGCATGCTACAGAGAAATCTTTCATGAAAGGAAGAGTCAATTGATGAGGCAAATTTCATTGTTGTCTTGTTTTAAGAAATTGCCACAACCATCCTAACCTTCAGCAACCACCACCCTGCTCACTCAGCAGCCATCAACATCTAGGCAAAACCCTCCACCAGCAAAAAGATTACGACTTGCGGAAAGCTCAGATGATGGTTAGTATTTTTTAGCAATAAAGTATTTTTAAATTAAGGTATGTACATTTTTTTTAGACATAATGTTATCATACGCTTAATAGACTACCAAAAAAAAAAAAAAACCCACAACAAAAAACCAACCCCATTGCCATCAAGTCGATTCCAACTCATAGTGACCCTATAGGACCGAGTAGAACTGTCCCATAGTTTTTCAAGGAGCAGCAGCTGGTGGATTCAAACTACTGACCTAATAGGCTACAGCATAGTGTAAACATAACTTTTATAAGCACTGGGAAACCAAAAATTTCGTGTGACTAGCTGTATTGCTATATTCGCTTTATTGTGGTGGTCTGGAACCGAACCCACGATATCTCCAAGGTATGCCTGTATTTCCAGCTTCTAACGTGGTGCTTGGGCATAGTGGACACTCCAGTGTTTGTTGAACAAATGAATGAAGAATGTAGGCAGAGGTTCAAATATTCAATAATCATCAAAAACCAAATACACAGATCGGCATCAAAAATGATAACACCAAGAATAACCAAAAAATGAACATATGGTCATATATGTATGTGTATAGGCATATATGTGTACAGGTAGGTACAAGAGTATATATATGTGTGCACAGATAAAAGTATCTACATGTATGTATAATGCAGATATGTGTGTGCATGCATATATATTCACAGGAGACACAGTTATAGATATTTCTCAGACATAACCAAGAACCTTGCAAAATTGGTTTTCTAGGTTTGAAGGCTTAGGACCTTGGTCTCATGGGACAACTTAACTGGCATAATATAGTTTACAAAGTTCATGTTCTGCATCTTAGTGAGGTGAGTGGTATCCGGAATCTTAAAAGCTTGCAAGCAGCCATCTAAGATACAACTACTGGTCTGTACTTGTAAGGAGCAAAATAGAAAGAAGGAAACCAAAGTCTCAGAGAAGAAACTAGTCTACAAGGCTAATGCTTACACAAGCTACGGCCTCATCTACCCTGAGACCAGAAGAACTAGATGGTGCCCGGCTACCACTCCCGACCATTCTGATCAGGGCTACAATAGATGTATTCTGAGAGAATGGGAGAAAAACACGGAACAGAACTCAAATTCTTAAAAAGTCTAGACTTACTGGACCAGTTGAAACTAAAGGGCTTCTTGAGGCTATCACCCTGAGATACTCTTTAAACCTTGAACTGAAACTATTCCCGAGGTCACCTTTTAGCGAAATAACAGATTGGCACACAAAATAAAGGATATTAGCCATGAGTACGGTGCTCCATTAAAAAACCATCTATATGAGACCAAAAGGTCAACAATTACTCTAAAGCAAAGATGAGAAGATAAGGGGGCAGGGAAACTAGAGTACTGGAAACAGAACAACCAGAGAACAATTAAAGACAGTGCTGACACATTGTGAAAAGTGTAACTCATGCCACTGAACAATTTGTATAGAAATTGTCAAATGGGAACCTAATTTGCTATGTAAACTTTCACTGAAAACACAATAAAATATTACGGAAAAAAAAAAGAGAGAGAAGATAGTCTAGACCTTTAAAACACTTGGTACAAAAAAGAGAATGCAAAATATGTTATTAATAATTTCTAATATTGATTAGATGTTGAGATGGTGATATTTTGATATATTGGGTTAAATAAAATATGTTATTGAAATTAATTTCACCTGTTTTATTTAATTTTTTTTAAGGTGGCTGCTAGAAAATAAAAAATTACAGATGCCTTACATTATATTTCTAGAACCTTCAATCAGGAGGGGAGACTGAAGTATAAAGAGGAGAGAGAATACGGAAAATTCCTCTCTGCTGATTCTGTCTGAATTAAAATGTTGGAACTGTTATGGAGGGCTTTACTTTAAAGCTTAACTGTTCTGAGTATTGTCAGGATGTAAGGTAATCTGGAAAGAAAAGTTAACCTAAAAATTAACATGAACTGAAGTACTTAGTGCTTTGTAGGAGAAACAACTGGCGTTACTTGTTAATCAGAATAGTTTACACTTGGTAAGAGGAAGAGGAAGCTCCAAGAAATAGATAAAAGTGATCTGCAGGAGGCAATGCTCAAAAGCTCCAAAAAGGAAAGGAAAGAAAACGTACTCAGAACAATTGTTTACTTTGAGTGCATTTTCTTCCCATTCTCCCTTTCTGCCTACTCTTTTCATCTCCCTGATTCTTTTTCTCTCTCCACAAACTCCAACTCTTTGGATTGCTATTATCTAGGCAAGAAAAACAATCACCTGTTTGACCAATTATTTTATTTTTTAAATTAGCATACAGTAAAACTGTACGTTTCTATGAATTTTAGCACATGGAAGGATTCATGTAAGCACCACCACAATCAGGATTTAGAACATTCCATCACCCCCAAAACTCCCTTCTTTGTAGTTACACCCTCCCATTCCTGGCCTCTGACAACCACTGTTGCGTTCTTAGTCACTACAGTTCAGTCTTTCTGAGAAGGTCATGTGAATGGGATCATGCAGTGTGTAACCTTGGGCCTGGTAATTTTTACCCAAGCCAAGGATGCTCCTTTCTCTGACAGGGAATTTACTTGTAAGTGTACAGTATCTACAGAGTTGGTGGACCATGAAACTTCAGTTAGAATGCTTAGGAATAGGATGTTCTGGTCAACAAGTTCTTAGGTTAATACTGGAAATTAAGCAAAATCCTTTTTATGGTTTGACCATGTAGCAATCTGTCTAAAATACGAGTTCCCAATATCTTAATAAATGAAGCTTAATGATCTCAAATAATTTTTTTCTGATTGAGGAGCTCTTAACAAATAGCATTTGTTATAGTAATAGCAATCCAGAGAACTATTAATTTGTCTTGTTTTTAATAAATGAGGATATTCGGGCTCAGAAAGGTTAAATGACTTGCCTAATCAGTGTCTTATTCTGGTGAATAGTGAAGCCAAGATGCGGCTCCCATCTTCTGGATATTTCCATTACTTGAACCTGCTCCCTCAATTGTGTGAAACACACTTCTTGGTGTTGGATAAACAAAATGTCATATATATAGATCACATTATATATATGTATATATATATATGTACATACATACATAATATATACACATACACACAAAATGTGATATATATAATACATATATTACATTTTGTTTATATATATTATATATGTAGTAGAATATTATTCAGCCATAAAAAGAAATGAGGTCCTGATACATGTTACTACATAGATGAACTTTGAAAACACACTGCGTGAAGTAAATCAATTACAAAAGGACAAATATTGTATGATCCCACTTATATTAAATAACTAGAATAGGCAACTGCATAGAGACTAAGGTTTATTAGTGGGCCAGGAGCAGGAGGGAGGGGAAAACAGGGATTCATTGTTTAGGAAGCACTCAATATCAGTTTATGGTGATGGGAATTCAGCAACGGATACTGGTGATGGTTGTACAACATGATTAATGTAATCGGTATCATTGAATTATACCAAAAAACCTGTTGCAGTAGAGTCAATTCCGACTGATAGCTATACTACTGGACAGAGAAGAATTGCCCCACAAGACTTCCGAGGCTGTAAATCTTTACAGAAGAGGACTGCTACATCTTTCTCCCGATGAGCGGCTGATGGATTTGAATCACTGACATTTCAGTTAGTAGTC